TGTTCAAAGGCGTCAGTCATAATTCTTTCCAAGAAGTGTTGGGGAGAGGAGACAGCCCTGGCGCAATCCAACTGTTGTTCGGAACCAGCTCCCTATATGTCCGTTCAGTGTGATAGCACTACTGGCTTTAGCATAAAGCTGTTCTATACTACGGATGAGGGTTTTACCCATATTGTACTTTTTCATAGTTTTCCAAGGTTAAGAGCTGAATATGTCTCAACATTTATACCAACACACTCAAAACGGTTTCAAAATATCTTTTGTTTGTGTGTGAATGTCATATCCTGATATATCTGCGTTGTCCGTGTGAAAGGTTAAATGAATAGACGGGGAACGGGGAACGCGATGTTTGTGAAATACCAAGATATTGAAGTGGAAATTGCCAAATGAAGGCGGATGCGGAAGTTTAATGTGAAGAGGTTCATAGTTGCCAATGTGCTGTATAAACCTCTTCATTTGTAATGTAGTCTCTCGGTTATGTGCCAACAATTTTTCGGAAACAGCATTTCTAATGCTTGTACCTTCCTTTCGAGTTCAATGTTAAGGTCCACGTTTCACAACCGTATTTAAATATACTAATAGCTAGTGCTTTGAGCAATCGAATCTTAGTTTTCCATTAAATGTTTTTGGATCTCAATAAGGTTAGCTGTTTGGCAAGAACTGATGTTTGGGCAATCCTAGACATGATTTCTGGTCTTGACCCCAGGTCACTTAAAATGGATCCTACATATTTTGGATTATTAGTCATCACTTTTAAGTTTTTTTTTTTTTTGTTTGTTTGTTTTTTCTGCGTTCATTTCCGTGCCATACTTGGTCGATGTTTAATCGAGCAGATTTACAAGCCCAACTAGTTCTTGTTCTTCTCCGGCCAACTCATCGATGTCGTCTGCAAAGCTTAAGTTTGTTATAGTTCGACCTCCTATACTAACTGTTCCACGATGTTGTTCAAAGGCGTCAGTCATAATTCTTTCCAAGAAGTGTTGGGGAGAGGAGACAGCCCTGGCGCAATCCAACTGTTGTTCGGAACCAGCTCCCTATATGTCCGTTCAGTGTGATAGCACTACTGGCTTTAGCATAAAGCTGTTCTATACTACGGATGAGGGTTTTACCCATATTGTACTTTTTCATAGTTTTCCAAGGTTAAGAGCTGAATATGTCTCAACATTTATACCAACACACTCAAAACGGTTTCAAAATATCTTTTGTTTGTGTGTGAATGTCATATCCTGATATATCTGCGTTGTCCGTGTGAAAGGTTAAATGAATAGACGGGGAACGGGGAACGCGATGTTTGTGAAATACCAAGATATTGAAGTGGAAATTGCCAAATGAAGGCGGATGCGGAAGTTTAATGTGCGCGTAATTTCCAGATGGGTGCGTGGTGCTTTTGTTGTTATGTGAGGATAGCGTATTTAGTAACTTCTAAGTGCGCGCATTAGTTGTCTGTGTTCTTCTTCTTCTTCTTCTTCTTCTTCTTCTTCTTCTTCTTCTTCTTCCTCTTCTTCTTCTTCTTCTTCTTCTTCTTCTTCTTCTTCTTCTTCTTCTTCTTCTTCTTCTTCTTCTTCTTCTTCTTCTTCTTCTTCTTCTTCTTCTTCTCTTCTTCTTCTTCTTCTTCTTCTTCTTCTTCTTCTTCTTCTTCTTCTTCTTCTTCTTCTTCTTCTTCTTCTTCTTCTTCTTCTTCTGCTTCTTCTTCTTCTTCTTCTTCTTCTTCTTCTTCTTCTTCTTCTTTTTCTTCTTCTTCTTCTTCTTCTTCTTCTTCTTCTTCTTCTTCTTCTTCTTCTTCTGCTTCTTCTTCTTCTGCTTCTTCTTCTTCTGCTTCTACTTCTGCTTCTACTTCTTCTTCTTCTTCTTCTTCTTCTTCTTCTTCTTCTTCTTCTTCTTCTTCTTCTTCTTCTTCTGCTTCTTCTGCTTCTACTTCTTCTTCTTCTTCTTCTTTTTCTTCTTCTTTTTCTTCTTCTGCTTCTACTTCTTCTTCTTCTTCTTCTTCTTCTTCTTCTTTTTCTTCTTCTTCTTCTTCTTCTTCTTCTTCTTCTTCTTCTTCTGCTTCTTCTTCTTCTGCTTCTTCTTCTTCTGCTTCTACTTCTGCTTCTACTTCTTCTTCTTCTGCTTCTACTTCTTCTTCTTCTTCTTCTTCTTCTTCTTCTTCTTCTTTTTCTTCTTCTGCTTCTACTTCTGCTTCTACTTCTTCTTCTGTTCATTGTCTCTAGATCTCTCGTTTTCGCCGACTTCTTCTCTTCCTCCACTCTCTACGTCCTCAGTATGTCTTTCTACCAGGTCGACCCAGTCTTGAGTGGGTACCAGGTGCAGTCCTGGGAAGTAAAGGCGGCTGACGTGATGCTGACGACATCACCCACTAATGCTGACTGGTCTATACAAATATAGATCTAGCCCTATATTCCCATTACGCCTAAAGGGCGGGGGGAAAGGGACCTTTACTTTACTCATATACGATTATTCAGAGTATGCAGTTCCCACCGAAAATGGTCTAAGTGACTGGTTTTTGGTGGAAACTGGTGGGAAACAAGGCTGCATTCTCCCTTTTTGTTTTGAGTAGCCATTGATTATATAGTGAAAGAAATGTTGCAAAGACAACTACTGGCATTGATTTGAGGACAACTGGAGGGTAACAGATGATTTGTCGTCTACAACATCCGCAATAGGACTGCAAATACGTTCGGAGAAAACAAATGGATACCAGCAACAAATGATGTAGATTTTATGCCAAAGAAGAAACCAATAAAAGTAACAGGCGATTTCACTTATTTGGGTAGCCTAATTTTGATCTCAAGGAGATAAAACGAAGGAAATTATGAAACGCTTCGCCAAAGCAATAACAGTCTTCAAAAGCCTTAACAAAATTTGGAGCTCTAAGTTATACAGCTTTAGGACGAAACTACAAATCTTCAATACTAACGTTATTTCAGTTCTAACATAAGCCAGCTACAGTTGCAGAACCACCAGAGATACGGAAAGATGCTACTTTTTGCTTTTAACCATAGACTCGTTGTGCAGTTGCAGAGTTTCTCTCGTTATCTTTCATCTTGTTCTTGGTCTATCTCTATTTCTCGTCCCTCTTCACTTTTGATGTATGCCTGTCTTATGTGGTGGTTCTGTGTTTAACTATTAAAATGTAACCTGAATTATGTGATTATCAAGTCGCTACAAGCCTGTCAATGTAAAGGACCCACATGCACTTCCGTCTTATTGGGTACATAGGACTAGAGCTATAGTTTATAGACCATCGGTATTCGGTGCATGTTGTCGTAAACATCATTCCGGTCGCCTTTACTTCCCGTAACTTTTTTGGTACCCATTTAAGGCTGGGTCGCCCTGAGATCCAAAGTAATTTTGGAAAAGGGAAAAAAAGTCCAACTACTTCACGACTTTTAGGTTCGGAGACGAGAGTCCAGTCGTTACACCTCGGCGGCTCTTTGGTTCTTGGCCTGTCTCACATTCCACTCCCGTCTCCACTTATGATATATACAATATACTGTAATTGTGGGTTTAACTATTAACAATTAACTTGAATTCTGTGGTTAGCAAGTCGTTACACGCTCGTGCTATGCCGTAATATGTGTCTGATTGTAAATGTGTTATTACTGAAATATACCCTATTTATGTCGTATACGGTTTTACATGGTGTTTTATGGTTTTACAGAACTAAACTAGTTATTTTACACATTTACATATTATGCCTTTAGGCTGACAGGTCTTGTTTTTTTAAGCTGACTGTTGAAAACTGTGGTTTCAGAGATTAGATTTATGCCAGATCGGACTGTTCATACTATGATAAATTTACGAGACTCTCATGAATGTTGCTTTGCAAGCTGTGAGCAGGGAATAATTAACAGCGTTTTTGTTCCGTTGGCTAAACCCAGGAGCATGAACTTGAAGATAACACCGACAGCTGCTGAAAGGTCCTGCCTGAACGAAGCGATGCTGAAAAATATTGGCAGAGAGCTTACAGTTCAAGTGTATTGTGTTTGCCTGTTATCAGCAGCAGATGTACGAGATTTTGGTGCGTAAACATGAGCAGTTATCCAGCCTTCTGCGATGGCACTTTTCCACTTATGGCGTCATCTTTGGCGCAGCTCAGATCGGCTGCTGCTGGCCTTGCTGACGCCGGGGCACCGCCCCTGGCTCCAGCCATCATTCCTTTACAGCCTCATATTGGTGCCACGTCGGTGCCACACCACGCCTTTCAGCTACTTCCATCGACACACGTTCTTTCACGCCCAAGTGCCAATAAGTTTCGCTATCTACCTGCACCGATGTATGCCTTCATGAAACACGAGATTCCTCGCAGTCTCAACAACGCTCAATCTTTAACAAATCCCCCTGGCTTTCAGGACAACCTTGTGTGGCACTCCGGTTGTAGTCAAAACCAGAGTCCACGGACAGTTGTGCCATTAAGAAGTGATAACGACCACTCCGATCTGTGTACAAACCCAGTCCTTGATCTGTCCCTGAAGAGAAACGCCTCATTTTCCGAAGATATTTGCTCTTTTGAGACAAACAGTGATTGTCATTGTTGCTCCGAGCTTGTCCACTGTCTGGATCACACAAGTCTGGATGCAAGAACATCTACGATCAGTGTCGTCAACCATTCCAAACATTTCAGCCTGTCAGTGTCCCAGACCTCCAAACATCACAGCGTTGTGGGTAGAATCAACAATCTTGTGATCAGCGAAAACACCTTCCTGGAACAAAAACATTCACCAGTCAGCTCGGGAAGTGATAAAACCTGGAGTAGAACTGAAGTGACTGTGTGTCCCAAGTATTCCTCGCCTGGACAGTCTCGCCACTGTTCAGAAACACTACGAGGAAATTGTCATGGGGTACGAACCTCTGAAAGTAAAAACGTTGGTATGGTTCATTTGAAAGATCACCCCATCAGAGCTGGCGACGCCACTGCTTGGAACAACGACTTTCACCGAGAGGTCGATCACCAACAGACTGTCATGCGGAACTTGTCTAACGCCGGAGTAGCAGATCCGCAGACAAATCCTTTTTCATCCCAGGCGAATTTATCTCCTTGCGGGCCTGGATCCCTGTCGCCGAGCACCCTGCAACAGGAGCAGAGGATGCTCGTTGGGGATATTACCAGCTTATCTCACAGCAGACAGGATCACACAGATCCTGCAGCCGATG